ACACACACACACACACACACACACACACACACACACACACACACACAATATTCTTTTACCTGTTGAGGGACTACACACACACACACACACACACACACACACACACACACACACACTATTCTTTTAAAAAGAGCACTGACCAAATTTTGAACATATTAATACATAGTTTGTGGTGAAATAGGCAGTCTCAAGGAGATGCAAAGTAAAGATCACTTCAGATTATTTTATAATATTAGAGGAAAGACCAAAAATAAGCCATAGGTAACTAAGTCTTTATTAAAGAAGAAAACACAACTTAAAAAAAGAAAAAAGAACAATTCTTCATTTGTTTCACAAATTACCGGGCAGAAATTCCTTTTTTTTTTTTTTAAAGATTTTATTTATTTATTTGACAGAGAGAGAGAGACAGCGTGAGAGGGAACACAAGCAGGGAGAGTGGGAGAGGGAGAAGCAGGCTTCCTGCCAAGCAAAGATCCAGATGTGGGACTTGATCCCAGAACCCTGGGATCATGACCCAAGCCAAAGGCAGACACTAACCATCTGAGCCACCCAGGCACCCCCAGAAATTCCTCTTTTAAATTGTGGATTCACTTATATATAAACTGCTGGAAAACTGTTTTCAGGAATTAGAAACCATCTTTTGTTGATGCTGGCCTTTTAAATAAAATATATAGTGTTAGAATCTGATGCTGTCACACTCTGTAACTTCTAGATGACAAAATACGATTTTAGTTAATCTACACTGCAGCACAAATCAAACAAGCTATATTTTAAAATCTTTCCCTGGAGAAAAATGGCATCTGCAAGACAGTTACAACACATAAAAAGTTTTTAAACTGACCTCTGTCATCAAATTTCCATACCTTTGTAGTAAAACACTTTCTCCCATTCTGCAAATTATATTTCGGTTTTCTGAAATCTCACATACAATGTTTTAAAATTTTGCAAACTATACCAAAAATTAAAACTTACCATAGTTTTGGTTTGCCCTATGTTACAAAAAACTTTCTTAAAAACAATGTATCTTGGCCAGCACTATAGAGAAAAACTAGGCATTTTTAACCAGAACAGAAGAACATTCTGGGCATTAATGCAGATTTGGCATACAAAGTGGGGAAAGATGATATGTAAGCTGAGTTCAGTGAAAACAGCCAGGCACTGAGTTAGAGGCTTGCGGGTAGAAACAGGATTGAAAGTGACATGATTATCTACACAGAAAACCTCAAGTCAGCTACAAAAACAAAAACAAACAAAAACAAAATCCCCCTAGGACTAATAAATGAATTTAGCAAGGTTGCAAGATGCAAGGTGAACGTACACAGTAGTCATTTCTAAATACCATTAAGGTACAATTGGAAATTTAGGTATAAACCTAAAACCTATGGATATTTGCATGCAATAAATCACAAAATGCAGATGAAAGAAATAAAACACAGACAAGTGGAAAGACATGTGTTCATGGACTGCAAGACTCAACATTGTAAACATTTCAATTCTCTCAAAATTTTTATAGATTTAACACAATTCCATTTTTTTTTTTTTTTTTTTTTTTTTTACAGTTATGGGTAAGTCGATCTAAAATATATATGGAGGGGCACCCGTGTGGTTCAGTTGGTTAAGCAACTTTTTTTCTTTCTTTTTTTTTTTTAAGATTTTATTTATTTAGGGATGCCTGGGTGGCTCAGTCGGTTTTAAGTGTCTGCCTTCGGCTCAGGTCATGATCCCAGGGTCCTGGGATTGAGTCCCGTGTCAGGCTCCTTGCTCAGTGGGGAGCCTGCTTCTCTCTCTGCCTGCCGCTCCCCCTGCTTGTATTCTCTCTGACAAATAAATAAAATCTTAAAAAAAAAAATAAAAGATTTTATTTATTTATTTGTCAGAGAGAGAGAGGGAAAGAGAAAGCACAACCTGGGCTCCTGGGATCAAGCCCTGCATCGGGCTCCCTGCTCAGTGGGGAGCCTGCTTCTCCCTCTCCCTGTATCCCTCCACCCTGCTTGTGCTCTCTCTCACTCTCACTGTTTCTAATAAATAAATGAATAAATCTTAATAAATGAATGAATGCATGAATGAGTAAAGTAAAATTTATATGGAAAGGCAAAGGAACTAGAAAAGCTAAATCAATTTTGAAAAAAAAAAGGAACAAAATTTAATGAATTACACCATGTGATTTTAGGAATTACTTATAGAGGGCTACAGTAATCAAAATAATGTGATACTGAGAAGAAACAGACACACAGAATAATGAGACAGAATAAAGAATCAAGAACCATATCCACATAAATATGGCTAATTGATTTTTGACCAGGGTAGAAAACAACTCAATTGAGAAAGCATAGTGTTTTCAATAAATGTTGAAGCAACTGGACATCATATGCGAAAAAATAAATCTTGACATTAAACCTCACACCTTATACAAGAATTAACTCAAAACGTAAACTATAAGCTTCTAGCAAAAAGTGTAAGAGAAAATCTTTGTGACTTAGGGCCGAGGAAAGAGTTCTTAAGACATGGCACCCAAAGCACGTTCATTAAAAAAACAAACAAACCGTGACAGATTAGACTTCATATAAATTAGAAAAGTTTACACTAAAGAAGGCACAGTTGAGAGAACAAAAACCCCACATTATTTAATTTCTCTGTCTCCAATCTCTATATGCCTTTTCTTTTTCTTGTTTTATTGTACTGGCAATATAACACTGAGTAATAGTGATGAAAGCAGACATCTTTGTCTTTTTCCTAATCTTTGAAAGAATGCATTTGGTCATTTCACCATTAGGAATAACATTAATAGCAAGGTTTTAATAGCTGCCCTTTATCAGATTGAGGAAGTCCGTTCTATTCCTTGATTCTTGAGAGTAATTAATACATGCTGAAATCTAATGTATTTCTGCATCAATTGATATGATCTTTCTTAGACTGCTAATATGGTAAATTATATTCAGTGATTTGTGAACTTTAATCCAGCTTTGCATTCTTGGGGTAAACTCCACTTGGTCATGATGTATTATTTTATATATTACTAGATTTGATTTGCTAATATTTTTTGAACATGTTTACATCTATGTTCACAAAGGATACGGAAATGTAGTTTTCTTATTTTGTAATGTTTATCTGGTTTATTAGGGTAATGCTGGTCTCATGAAATGAACTGGAAGAGCTTTTAACTCTTCTGTGTTTTGAAAGAAATTCTGTAGATGTAGTGTTAATTCTTCTGTAAATGTTTCAGAGAATTTACTAAGTAAAAATCATCTGTGCCTGGAGATTTCTTTATTGAAAAGTTTTAACTATAAATTCAATTTATTTAATAATTATAGAACTATTGTGGTTAACTACGTCGCTTGGCTAAATTTTGATAGCTTGTGCTTTTCAAGAACTTGGTATTTCACCTAAGTTGCATGGAGTTGTTCATCTGTATTCCCTTATCCTTTTGACATCTGCAGCATCTGTAGTGATGTTCCATCTCTTTTTTCCTGATATTGGTGATTTATATCTTCTTTTTTCTTTGTCAGTCTTACTAGAGATTTATCAATTCTGTTGATCAAAGAACCACCTTTTGGTTTTATTGATTTTCTCTATTTTTTTCTTCAGTTAGTGGAAGTCATTGATTTCTGCTTTTACCTTTATTGTTTCTCTTCTTCTGCTTACTTTGGTTGTATATTGCTCTTCTTTTACCAGTTTAAGGTAAAAGCTTAGATTATTGATTTGAGATCTTTCTTCTCTAATATAAGCATTTTTTCTATCCTTTTACTTTAACCTATCTACATCATTATATTTGAAGTGAGTTTCTTGTAAATAGATACAGATTAGTCATAGTTTTTAAATCTATCCTGACAATCTCTTATCTTTTAATTGGTATATTTAGACCATTTACACTTAATATAATGACTTAGCCATAAACATATACATATAC